GCACTTATTCACTGCATACTTTTTCTTACATGAAAAGGAGATCTGTGAAATTGGCAGCCGATTGACCAGGGTCTTAAATGGTTTTATTTTGCTAACAGCTGAGGGTTTAGGTGGCTTTTCTTCAGTCTCCGTATGCTCTCTCTTGCAGTGCCTTTTCAGCCTCTCCACCGTTGAGCAGATATGGGGGCAGGTTTGACACATATAGCCCCTAATTTTTAAATTGCCAGGATTACCAGGACCATTTATTTTCAAACAGTCGTCCCAGTTTGCTAATTGTGCTGTATCTAAGTGAAAACTGTCTGCCCTGACTTTGAGGGTAGGATGCCTCATCTGGAAGTGAGTTTGAACTCCTTTGAAACCGGTATTGACGTAGGTACAATACGGACACTTGAAGACATGCATGTGTGTTTCACTTTGCTCTTGCTTTTCCTCTTGGTTTTCATTCACAGCTTCGTAGTGTTTCATTCCACAGTGAACGCTTAGGCCGTGCGGTTTGTTAAACTTTGCAGGGCAGTAAGGGCACCTGAGCATTTTGGATGATGCTGTTGCTTTAGGGGGTGAAACAGGTGGCATGTCGAATTCCAGAGGCACTTGGTAGGATTCTAATGTCCCAGGCATTTCATTGTCGTCTTCCATCTGCCTGTTTGCACTTTGTCTTTTGCTTTTGGCCACATCCATGACAGAGCCGTCTTCTTTTACTGACCATGGATGAACATCACGGTAGTGCTGTGCGATGACTAACAATGAGTCACCCTTAAATGAACATGCTCTGCATGAATACATATCATTGTGTCCAGATATTTTTGATGGTACGCTGTCATTACCTTCAGGAATATCATCAGTGCACTTCTCTTGAGGTTTTTGTCTTTTAGGTTCCCTTTTGGGACCAACATACAATCGATCAATCACATATTCAAGGCTTCGTTTACGCCCTGGGTGTTGCTCCTTGTGATGTTCAAAGACTGCTGCTGCGTTTTTGTGGGAGAAAACACACATGTCACAGTGATACCCTGTCTGTAAATGTCCTTGTTCGTAACACAATTTTAAAACATTTGAGACTGTGCACTTTGTCCCGTGGATTTTCCCTATATGCCTCTTCAAAACACATACATATTGAGTTGTGTATGTGCATCTATGGCACTGAAGGGTCCTTTGGGTCTGTGAGGCTGGTGGTGAAACTGACACAGATTTGCAAATCATTTTCTTTTTCTTTTTTTTATTGTTTTTTACCTCTGCAAGATTTACTTCTTGGCTTCTATTTGCTTTTCGGTCTGATTTCTGTGCCTTTTCACAAACAATAGTGGTATACAGACAAACTTGTTTGCCAGTAATCATAAATCCACTATGCTTTCTAGAGTAATGCCTCAGTACTGATTGCACAGTGCGCTGTCTATAGTTACAATAGTGGCAGAAAAACATATCTTCATCGCCCTTTTTCATGAGGGGTTGTGGTAGATGCGTGGAGAAGGCAAACTCCTTAGCTTGAGATTTAGATTTTTCAATTTCAACCCGAATCAAAGCTGTATGTTGAAGAATACATTCCTTGTCATAAATTAGGCCTCTGTGAAGTTGGTTTTGATGGTTTGCTACTCCTTTTGCAGATGGATTTCCATAGTTGCAATTTTGGCAGTAAAACAAATTTTCCGCACAAGCATAAGCATGTCCTGCTTTGTCATACTCTATATGTGGAGCTGTTTCACTATATACCTCAGCTTGTTGACAGGTTTTGGTTTTAGAGGTTTTAGTACTTCCTGGAGACTCAGTTTCACTTTGAAGTTTCTTTTTCCGCACAGCAACACTATGACTTAGGATCTCTTCAATGCATGTTAGTGCTTGGAGAGAGTGTTTGGCGTTATGATGACCAACAACGCTTTTAATTTTGGTACTTGAATAACCGCAAAACTGACAGTAGAACAGTATATTTGGTGAACTGCAGGATAAACTGTCCATTTCACTGTAGCGTTTAGTGGGCGACCTTTTTCTTGCTTCTTCCACAGATTCCTGTTTCTCAACTTTGGGAGACTCTAAATAAGTCTTAGAAGCGTCTGTCGGGTGCGTATGCTGTGATGGCTCAGCTTTGTCTTTTGTTTGCTCAGAAGAATCGGAGATGTTGGTTTGAGGAGCAGCTTTTTCTGTTATTGTCAGAGGGTTTGGAGAATTATCTGGCATCATTTGTGATGTAGTAGACAAAGGGATGCGAGATGACTGTTTGATTTTGTCTATTGAGACTTCTTCACCTGGGTGGATTTTCTGGTAGTGGACATGCATAACAACAACAGACTTATGACTAAACTTGCAGGTGTTGCAATGATACAGGATCACGTCTGCTCTGTTAGGGGTAGGATGTTGGGGTAAGGGTGCATTTTGCACTTCCTTACTAGCTGTACAGGCACTCTCAGGAGGAATCTCTTCTTCTCTTCCTGGACTGGCTGCTTTATCAATTGTATTTGACTGATATGATCCCTCTTGGCATCCAGTGGCTGAGTATCTGCAGTACATCAAGGAATTATCCAATCGATGTGTTGGGTGATTTTCCTTGAAATGTTTTATCAAAGACTCCAACATGTTGGTCGTAAACAGACACACAAAACATTTGAACACCAAACTGAGTTCATGTGAATGCATCTTGAAGACATTTGGGGCCTCTGGATGATTTTCAGTGTAGTGTTTCTTGAGGTTAGCTTCACTCAAAAACTCAACTGGACACTGCAGACAGCGAAAGGTAGCACTCGCATCACTTGGATCCTTTATGTAAGCAACATTGTATCTTACATAGGGGTGGTTGTTCTGGTAATGGGTAGACACATTTGTGATGCCCACATCTCTGTATTCACAGTGCTTACAAAGATAAACCAGTGAATTTTCTGTGTCTCCATTGACACAATGACGTTTATTTTCTCCTTCATCTTCGCTCACATCAAATGAAAACTCTGTGTTGCTTGACGGTTTTTGTTTACTTGTGTTTGCTTTCTCTGGTAGCTTTGTCCTTTCTTTGTTCGTCTTTGACTTTTTAGCTGGTGGGCTTCTTGATTTTTCATTGTTGGTCCTCTGGCCACCTTTGTCAGGAACCATGTCTCTTGATTGAACCATGGGCTTTGGTTGTTTCAGGTCAGTACTTAAAAAGTGGTCATTCAGCAAAAACTGTTGAGAAACATGGTTTAGGTCAATGATAGACTTTGCATTTACTTTAAACACACCACTGCTGTTTGGACTGGAGCTTGGGGGAGATTCCTGCAAAATAATGGTCGTTTTGGTGCATTCTGGAAGCTTTGCGCTTTCAGCTAACTTCACTGTGGTTTTCCCATTTGATCCCGATGCTTCCACAAAGTACTTTGTAATGGTTTGCAATTGCCTCTTGTATGTCTTCCGATCCTTGGATGTGTTAAGTGTGGGTTTCGATTTTGAGGTAGACATAGCTGAAAGACAGGAGGGAATCTCACTTGCTCCTACTGCAGCATCACCACGCTCTTTTTTTGAGACTTCAGATATCTCGGCACCCGGGTTTTCAGAGATGATTACATTTCCAATCACGTTCTGATCTTCTGTCTTTATTTGACAATGTTTCTCATGACTTTTTAAAACGTCCAAATCTAAAGCTTTAAAATCACACTGCTGGCATTCAAAACCATCTTCTGTATTTGTGGAATTGTAGTCAACATTTGCGTTGTTAGTCCCAGGGTTTTTTAAACCAGCCTCTCTAAGAGCACCTTCTACATCATAGCCATGCACATTTTTGAGGTGTTCAAAAAGATAGACCTTGGATTTAAAGGGGATAGTACAGTGTCTACAAGGGCCAGACTTGGTTGTGGTTTCTTGAGAGATAACGGGGTTCTCTTTCATGTGGCCAGAAGAGGAAAAGTGTGTTGAATCTAAGGAGGTAAATAACATATACTGTTGAATAAAACTCAACGTGATGACATGCATTACACTGAAACAGCATTGTCACTAAATAGAAAGTGATAAATACCTTGTTGCATCTTGGACTCCTCTCCAAACACAGAGAATGAAGACACAGCTGTTACTCACCTAGAGGATTGAAAGCATAAACGATTGGGTTGCTGAAGGTAAAAAACCAGCAAACCACATGTGATTTCTACTTTGTTAACACTGTTTTTAAGTTAAGTGTTCTACTGAGGGCTTCTACATGGATTCAAAAGAAAAAACCAATATCAACAAGGGATATACTGCTACTACAGCAGTTCACCAATGGTCGAAGAAACAACTTGGGACCAAAGTCAGGTATGTTCAACAGGAAGGAAACGAAGAGCAAGCACAGCAGCCCCTTACCAAAAAAAAACTATTTGAAAAACACAATGAAAAGACATAGTACACAAATATAACTAATTAAAACCTATGTGCAAATAAATAAAGTACTCACGCATGTAGACAAGCCCAATATTAGGCTTATAATACAATATTTTGAATCGATGATGTTGTTAACGTAGAGAGAGGACACATTTCCGCCATTTTTCGCGCTAGTCCAACTCTCTCTGGCCTGCTTCCGGTCCGACATCTGAGGATGTCACTTAACTTCCGTCGAGAACCTCTTAACCTTCAAAATAAAACAGATTTGAGGCACTTTGCACAGACAAAGAAGGACTTGAGGAGACGATAAAGTAACTGGTGAAACATTAATTTACCAGTGAATTCTTGTTATAGGCTACATACCTGTATTATAATGAGCTGATGGAGCACAGGCGATGTTCTGCTACTTCGACATTTGTGTAACGTAACCCCCGGAGCCATATCCGTTTAACTTATTATTATTTTTAACCCAGACTTACACCTTTTCCAATGGAAAAAATTGTCACTTGTTAAAATATATCGTAATGTCTTAATGCTTTTAGTTTTTTACAGATCGGCTCAGAGAACATTTTGACCGATTGAGTTATTAATTTAACTGATTCAAAATAAATAATAAGTCATAACCTATTACATAATTACGGCCATGTACATTTCGTTTTAGTTTTGTAGTGAAAAACACATGTGCCGACGGATCTTGCAGAACGCTGTCATTGGTTCCGCATACTGCCATTGTTTCCTCCGGAAGAATATCGGGCGGACAATAACAGGAGAGCAGAAACGTAGTAAGTTTTACCTCACAGTGAGGCTCACACTGAATTCGGTTTAAGACGAGTTAACGTTGATATAAATAGTTTGCTTAAGCCCGAGTTAGCTTTAGAGTTGATTGTGATGATGTGCTGTTAGGTAAAATATCATGTCAGTATTCTGTCATATTAGTGTGTGCCGTTTTCATTATTATTCTTTTTACAAAACTAACTGACCTTTATCAAGTGCCAATAATCTGCTCAACTGCAGCTGTTTTTGCGCCCATGTTCTTCCCAAATTCAATTCAAATCAGCATTGATTAACGCCTAATGCATCTTAAAACATGGCATTTCCAATTGTTTTTTTAATGACCTGCACTGTCTTTATAAATGTATGGAAATCTTCAAAAGACACATATTTTCAAGGCATTCAAAATTGTTCTTACCTCATAGTCAGAGCTAGAAATCTTCAATTAGCATACACATCTTAGTCTAATTTCTAAAAGTTCTGAAGCTTATACCATACATGTTTGTTAGTATATTATTCATTTTATATCTGACTATTATAACTTCAAAATGAAACAAGATTATTTAACCTGTCTTTATACAAAGTTCAGATTTATTTTCCAGAAATGTATGGTAATCACATGGGTTTGAGAGTTTTTAAATGGTCATTCTGTATATATTTTTGACCTGGAATGTGCACAGACAAAGGACACACAATTAATAATGCAGCTACACCCACTAAGGCTCTCTGACGCATGAACACTTCAGTCTTTGTGCATCTGATTATCTCTGACACAAAAGGTATGCCTGTTGCAGCAAATCAGTCCTCTTTGAAAAAGCCATTGACAAAACATTGTGTGCTTTTTTTTGTGTGTAAAGGGGTGTTGTTCTCTGAGAAAAAATGTCAATCTGACCTCAGAAAAACAACATGCTCGCAGCCAAGCTGACCAGCCAGTTACCTCTGGATACCCTGAGGAGGATTCATCATGGAACTTCTTACCGCTGTCTCTACACCCTGTCGAACATCTTCCTTCACACGGAGGGAGGGAGGACGAGTGATGCAAGTCTCCTCTCTGATTCCAGTGCTCTGAGAAGAGGGTTTTACAGCCTGAGTGCTTTCCGACCAACATTTAGACTACGAGACACACAGCAATATGGGAGAAGATCCATCAGTCTATCCGCTGCTAAAATAGTGAACTCAGCACCAAGGCCAATCCAGCCATACCTCAGATTGATGAGGCTGGACAAACCTATTGGTTAGTACATTCACTTTCATTACATCTTTCAGTGTACAGTATGTGTATGACGCTTTTTTAAAGGGAGTTTGATACTGTAGGTTTGAAATTGTTTAGTATTACATTTAGTTCAAGTGCTTGGAATATTGTCAGACCTGTATTTTGGGGATCCTTTTTATAGTATTTCACACACTTTTGAATAACCATATGTATAAGTATATAATAGGATATTAGAAATATGTGTGAGTGATGGTGTGTCTGCGCATTGCAGGAACATGGCTGCTCTACCTCCCATGTGCATGGAGCATTGCATTGGCTGCAGACCCTGGACACCTCCCACATTTGGGCATACTCACCCTGTTTGGTACGGGTGCGCTGCTGATGAGAGGAGCGGGCTGCACTATTAATGACATGTGGGATAAAGACTTTGACAAAAAGGTATAGGACAATTCATATAAAGCAATTTCCAAAATAGCTGAGAGATACAGGTGGCTTTTGGTCAAACTTTTTTACCAAACAGCTTTAACTGTTATTCTTTGCTCAGCCCTTTCAGCTAGATTTTGAATTAACAAGAATTATTTTAAATCCTTCCTCTCTTTGATAGCTATAAATGACATGCCATGACACACAATAGGATGCTGTTCAAGCTGTGTTTTTTACTTATCTGCATTATCGTCACTCCCATAGTCACAGCCAATGACGACCTCCCTATGTCATGACTGATTAAATGTGATAATGTTTTAATAAAGGTGTCCAGGACGGCCACTCGACCCATTGCATCAGGAGAGATTTCTCAGAGGCAGGCCGTCGTCTTCTTAGGAGGACAGCTTTCTCTGGCACTTTGTGTTCTCTTGTGTCTCAACTATTACAGGTATCAAGTGGTCTCTGTGTTTTCCTTAGATCTTTATATTGTATCATATAATATTATATGATCTGTATATTTTAGTTATCAGTTTAAAGAGAGTAGCAGAGAGGACAGAACGCTGAAGCAAGTGTGTAGGTCAGACAACAAATACTGTCTTCAGACTTTATTTATTGAACTGTCCCATTGGTTATGTTGCCATCTACTTTGACTTTGTTCAACAATTGTAATGGGGTCTTTTACCGACCGGGGGACAAAATCCATATTCCAAACCACGTTCAAATATAGTAGGCTAAAAATTCCAGGATGCTCTAATAATGTGTTTAATCACATGTTTAAGTATGCAAGCTAGCATGCTTTTCTGGCTATTACTATGTACTAAAAGTAAAAGAAAAGTGCAATTTAGAACTAAACTGTACAATTCTGCAGAAACAAAATCAAAAGTGTCAGTAAGAGTCAATGTCTTCCAAAGTTACAGTCTCAGTGCAGAAATCCCTCTTTATGTTACAATCCCTCTAATGCAGGTCAGCAGGAAAACACTTTCTGGAAACACACAGAAGGAATTTAGCACTAAAAAGACTGTAACTATGGAAGGTGTTCACTGGATTTGTATAACCCAGGCTGATGAAGCCTCATATTAGCTTAAGATAAACCTTTTTTACAAAACAAGGACTGTGGATACTGCCCCTAATCACTTTATTGTCCAGGACAGAAGGGATGTTTTCAATGAGCATATCTGTTTCGATTTCCATATAGGCCCCTTTGGTTTTAGAACAGCCTGTTATAACTGAATCAAACTGTTTACCAGCTGCCTTTTTATAGACTTGTGCCCTGCACATGCACAAGAACAAGGGATTTGTGTAAGAATGCTGACTAAAATGGACCTAAATGCAAATGTGTTCATATATTCATCGCTTGACACGTATGTACTCTTCCCAGCATAGCCTTGGGTGCTGCCTCGTTGTCCCTAGTCATCTCCTATCCACTGATGAAGAGGATCACTTACTGGCCGCAGTTTGTGTTAGGTATGAGCTGTATAAGACTCTCCTGTGGTGTTTTAAATCTTAATACTTCTTCCCATCAGGCTGAAGTCTGTCTCATGTTCCTAATGTTCTTTCTGTTCAGGCCTCACTTTCAACTGGGGGGCGCTGCTCGGCTGGTCGGCCGTCAAGGGCTTCTGTGATTGGTCTGTGTGCCTCCCGCTGTATTTCTCAGGAGTGATGTGGACGCTGATATATGACACAATATATGCACATCAGGTAAAGTTTACAGTTCCTATTTATGTTTTGTATGAAGCGCTTAGTTGACATATATATTGTTAGCCGCTCACATTTAGTAAATAAATAGTTCAAAACTATTTTTCAATCTAGCCTGGTTTGGTGTAAGTTGTCGTATGTTGGCGACATTTGCTGTTGAGATATCTGCCTTTTCTCAAATGTAATAGATCTAGCACTCGGCTTGTGTGTGAGTAAAGCACCATAGAATACATTTAAAAACGAATGAAAATGGTCTCTTTCCAGGAAACATGACTTGGTTACTTCAGATTTTCCACATACCTTGCACTGAGCAATTTCATGTAGAAACTATTTTCTGTCCATGGTATTACTGCTCTTAAAGGTGGGGTAGATAATTTTGGAGAAACCAGCTCGAGTGCGCTAGAATTTGAAAATACACAGCCGGAAAAAATCTGCCACTTCCTTACAGAGCCCCTCCTCCAACACACACGAACGCGCACATGACCAATGAGGGCACGAGATAAGTTTGTACACAGATGGAAGGCTGACAGGCAGGTAGGCCATCCAGTTATTTTAGCCCGGCCGGCTCAAATGATTGGTCGTGCTTTTTACAGCGCTACGGCTTCCACAGATGACATTTTTGTATGGATTTTTTGTCAAAGCACTTCAGCAGCATATTCATTGCTATCGGGATGTTAAGAGCATTCCATGGAATATAACAAAAAGTGTATCTTGAGCCGGTTTCTCAAACGTACCTACCCCACCTTTAAGGAAACATGCATTTACTTACTGTATATACATTTCCCTTCACATAGCAACTCACGCCAAAACAATCTAGGTTCATGAATAGCACTATTGGTTACAGAACAAATATGTTATATTTTTGAGTGAGCTGTACCATTGAACCATTGCTTCACTTGCATTGTATTACATTGAATCCAGTCACGTAGGAATAGAACATAAGCTTAATGCCTCATATTTAAAGTAGTGTATCATTGATTGAGACTAAGCTCCCTCTGTTCTTTCTTTGTTAACTAGGATAAGGACGACGACGTCAAGATCGGAGTGAAGTCTACTGCGCTGAGATTCCAGGAGCAGACCAAACCTTGGCTGAGTGGCTTCACGGTGGCCATGTTGTCAGGCCTGGTGGTAGCCGGAGTCAATGCTGAACAGACCCTCCCTTACTATGCAGTTCTGTCCACAGTGGCTGTTCACCTCACGCATCAGGTGAGGAACATGGAGGTGTACAGTGCAGTCTATATGCTGGCTCCAAAAGGGTGGATATGTATTGTACAGAGAGATATGACAAAGCAAAGAACATATAACGAAAGTGTGAAAAATATGGGTTTTCTATTAAAAGGGGATATTTCCTCTCCTCTCTTTTTAGATTTACACATTGGACATTCACAAACCAGAGGACTGCTGGAAGAAATTTGTGTCAAACCGAAACCTTGGATTGTTGCTGTTTTTAGGCATTGTCGCTGGAAATCTGTGGAAAGAAAGAAGAGAGAATTTGCTACAAAATAAGGAGGAAGTCAGATAAGTGACACAAGCAGAACAATTATTCATTTTTATTACATTTTCAGTACTTCACAATGCTTCAGCTCTGTGAGAGAAACATGAACTGATTTGAACCCTGACTGTAATATTATTGGTTACTTTTGTTTGACTATTGATTGATAAAACAGTTGTACAGAGAAAAGGGAAGAGAGAGTATGTCAGACGAGCAAATGGGTGGAGTTACATTCATATCCCTGCTGCTGAGGGAAACACCTCTTGGTACATACAAAATATAATTTTTGCTGCTGATTGAAACTCTAGTGGCTGCACACATTTACACAAAAATCAGCTAAATGGAGTGACGATAAACCAGACAAATCCTTTATTTGTTGTGACTAAATTTGCTTATTTTTTTCAATAGGCAGTATCAGTATTGGTTTATAACAAAATCACCATAAATAAATATAAAGTATAAAAGAAACAAACAAAAAAGGTACGATTCCAAATTGTCTGTCAACTATCTGAGTAATGGGCCCGATAGACATATTATATAATATTTTACACTTTTCATGTGTATGTTTAATTGGTACTGACCAATCAAAAATGCTGCTAAAAGATCTGTGTGTGAAGAAGTTTAAATAAAAATAAGAAGTATCAGTAATACATAACCGAGTCAGTTGTCAGTCACGTGTTTCTTCCTTTAGAGGGCAGATTGTTTTCACAGTTTGAGAATAATGTTTTTTTAGGTGGCTGGGTTATGCAAAGTGCCTCCATACAAATGTTTTATTAACATCTTTGTTGTTAGAGAGAGGGAACAAACCCGGGTTTAGATTGGTATCGGTGTCAGCAGACACGAGAGGTTTTAGTATTTGACATCAAAGAGTTATTTACCATCCCTTCAATGAACATGGATTTACAGGGAAATGTTAATGTCTTGTTATCCTAGCTCATTACACCTTAAAGCTGCATCAAACAGTTTTCACCACTAGGAAGCAGTACAACAACGCCCACCTCATGAAGTTGTTGCTAACCACTTAGTTTCATTTGAGTCAATCCACTATTGAGAAAGACATCTGGCTTTATTTTCACTTTTGTCATTTGTCATTTTCACTTTGAGTCACTAGTTTTTGTCCAGCGAGTCAGACAGGATCCCTTGCCATGCCTTGTTTGATGGACTGCGCTGCCAATTATTTTGCATCAGGGTTTGGTTTTATGTTACACCCAACCAAACAGTATATTGGCAGGTTTCTCAACCCTAAACAATGGATGAATGATGTTCAACGTGGAACACACCTGCAGCTTTCTGTTCCTCTCTGGAGATGCTCACTCACATGGCAGGGTTTAATGACATAGAAAATGACCCCTAATACAGATTTGAATTACAAAATTATCTTTAGTTTATGCTACCAGAGACCAACCTTGAAATGTTTAAATGTTAAGTATTGTTGCTTTCAGCACTGCAATCTAGTTCATTTTGCAACATTGACTGAAACATAGAAATATGTTATGAAGTCCAGTTACATCCTACTCAAAGACATCTCGAGATAAATAAAATGGTGTGAATAATGTAGCTTTGTTGACATTTCATTGATTATTTCTTCCAAATTCAATGAAAAGTATATAGAGGACAAACAACAAAATACAAGGAGAAGAACAAGAGAAATCGAAGGATCTGCCGCGGTTTGAGGGCCTGCCGTCCACCCATTTCTGCTTCTGCTGGTGGTGGTTCCCACGGCTGAAGGCCGCTATCCACCTGCTGTTAGAGGCCTACTCCCACCTGTTGGGTGCTACTGTGCGGGGGAGGCCTGGTCTGGAGATACCGCGGAGAAACCGGAGTGTTGCCACACTGCTGCTTGCCTATTTCCTTGCTGCTGTCCTGACGTGATTTTGCTTCGGGAACATCGTGGATGCTGTTGAGCTGGACTGGGAAAAGGGCAAATGTCGTGTTTCTGCTGTGCCTTTTTTTGACTGTGCTGGACAAGGAGAAGTTCGCTAGTCATCCTGAAAATTCTGCTGGATTCGGGTCTGTTCTGCCGCCCGCAGTGGACATCCCCTGTACAGGTTCGGATGGGTTGCACAAACAATTGCTAGTTGCACTGTCGCGGACATTCATTTCGTCAAATGTCTGTCTTTCTCACATGCCTGCCACAATGGTCCTTCCGAATGGTTTTTTGAACTCTAATCTCACTTTCGCGAAGTTTGCTGGTGACTCTAGAACAGCTGACAATGTATGTGCAGTGTTTCCCCTAGGATGGAGTCATAGCAGCGGTGCTAAGGCACGCGGGCCCAGCACAATGTGAGCGCGGCGCGCGCGAAGTGCTTCCCGCCATTATGTTTCTATTTGTCTGCCAGCACAAGAAAGACACATACATCATTAAAGGCTTCAAATGTATTCAGTATTGTATGAACATAATTGGTGGTTGGACATCACATCCTCTAGGGGGGTCCGGGGGTATGCCCCCCCGGGAAGATTTGTTTTTACATTTTAATATAAAATGCTTCAATCTGGTGCACTTTGAGCACACAATGACTAGAGACTAGATCTAACTCTAAACACCCATATGAAAAAGATCGTTTTACATTTTAATAATCAAATAATTGAACATACCAATAAACTACCATAGCCAATAACACATATGTAACTTATTTTATTTTTGTTGTTCATTTACATCACTTTCATCAGGCAATTTTTTAGTTTAATATCAGGTGTCAAAAGAGCATGGCACCTAGTAATGAATGTGCCAAATGTCTCCACTTCGTTCCACTGCCCCAGTGACTTGAATATCTTGGGTTCTGCCACCCTTCATGCAGATCTAGATC